TTTACAATCTGAGAAGCAGTTTCGAGGACGTCCCCTCCTACTTCCACACCCTTCAATCCTGAGCTGACAAAGAAGTCGAACTAAAAATCCACTTTTTCATCAAAATTTCAACTTCCAACAAGAGTTGCAAGTCTCGTCTTGAACATGATGGCCAAACAAAAAATACTTCTTTCTGTATCAGATAAACCATTGAGCAAAAGTCTCTACTTAGCAAGCGAAACGAAAAGCAACATCAATCTTTATTCAGGATTCGAACATACTTGAAAACTTCGTTATCCTTCACCTTCACACATCAATTTGCTCAAGTAAAACTTAGATGGAAGCGCATTTGAGACCACACGATATGAAAGCGAAAGCGTAGGCCAATAAAAAGAGAAAGAGGAAGAAAGAATGCTCCAGTAGTTGGTTTCCAGCTCAACAAATCGTCCAACCACTGCCCACTTCGGTTTTGCCAACATGCACCTTACTCTTCGTGCCCCAGCAATCAATATCCACAAGGCTGAGCTTCAACGCCTTGACGAAAGTCGCAAGCAGCATACAGCTTCTCACCGTCCACAAAAATTGCTGTTGCTTCACTGAGTGCAGATATTTCTTTTAATGAATGACCGCGACTGTTCAGTTCGTCTATGACGTGCTGAAAAATATAGAAGAATTGTACTCAATATACCACCACTTACTACCTCTCATATTCGACAACCTAGCAAACTCAAAAAGTAAAAGTTAACTTAAAAAACACAGTTACTTGCTGGAAACCTGGTTCGTGCAAGGTAACGTTAGGAAACAGCTGGTTGTGTAACCTAGAAGACGTCAAGGCATCTCTTAATTTCCAGCCCAACTTCAGCACTTTAGTTGCAATAAGGGAAACTGTTGAAATGATTCTTGAGCCTCCAGCTGCACCAACCGCCAGCTCAACCTAAAATTTAAATAATGTTAAGGCTACCAGAGTCACTGATACAAAGTTTTATTGGGTGTTGGCTAAATGGAGGACCTTGTCTGTAGCTTTATTAACAATGATGAGAGGACTTATGGAGCTCATTGGCCTTTTTCCAGGGCGTATAAAGTTAGCTGGAGCTGGAGGGTAACCATAAAAGTTCGGTTTTTTTGGAGATGAAAAGTCGTCCATATTGGAGTTCCATATTACGCCAGTGCTCTCTGATGCAACACCCGCTCCAAAGCTGCAACATCATGGTGACACGAACAAAATTGCTTACGATTGAGCAACAAAGCAACAATCAGCAAGAAGTACAAAGCTCACAGAAAATTGATAGTAGTTGTGCACGCAACAGCATTGCCCTGTCTGTCAAGCACCATAAAACTTGAAGTCCCATCATCTGAAGAAGGAACAGAATGTGGTTGGTAACCATCTAAAGGAAGCGCACGAGAGCCAATGGACTTCCTAACATACTGTAGGAACTCCTCACTTGTGATATTTCTGAAAAAAATATATACACTCATGGACTCATACTCTGCGATCAAGACTCTACAATTTTCCGCTCCGCAAAAATTTTTGAAAACTTCCAAATATTTAAACTAAGGTTTGTTACTTATTGCTGATCCGAGAGGATAGCGGCTTCAAAGGGGAAGCAGAAGTTAAAAAATAAAGTGAAAGCAACCCCACTACCGATGGAACCATAGCGTTTGTACTAATGCAGAAATAAAATAAAAAAAAATGACTTAAATAGAAACTTCTAACGTAACCTTGCAAACTCAGGGAATTTGTTTATCACAACCGCAAATTGCTTATAGAATATGAGGCTGAAACTCACTTAGCGATCTTCATTGCTTGTGGAACAAATGCTCCATCTCCAAGCTCGGACCTCACAGCGTACGCAAACTTAGATGCTTCCAAATAATAATGGTAAATGTCTGCATTTGCTTCTGGTTTTGTCTGAACAATAGACACGTCATAATGCAAAATACAGTAAATGAGGAAGAAATAATGAGCCCAGAATAGTGGTTCTGAGCTGAAGCAGCGTCATGAAAACAGAAATATGAATGGAAAGCAAAGCTGACCCGGCATGGTTCACTAGCAAAATTTGAACTTAAAAGGTGAGCGACTCAGGAATGAAGGGCACTGGCCTGCTGTCGTATTATTTAAGAGTCTTACTTCGTTCAGTCCTGTGATATAGTCGTCCATAATTTTAATAATACTCTGAGTTACTGCCGACGAGGATGGAGGAGGAGGACCACAGATATACCGGCCATGTAGTTCAGTGACGATCAACTCGGACTGGTTTCTTATTATGGCTCTGTATCGTTTGAAATCTTCCGCAGTAATTATTCCACCTGAAAACGAGATGACATTGGGGAGTTAGCAAAAATCGTCATTTTTTTAAACACTAGCTCTACAAATACAGCACTGACTCACCATTTGCTTTAAACTCTTTGACAAACTGCTTAGTCAGTTTCCCTCTATAGAAGTCCTTCACTGGATCTTTAGCCCTAGCAAGCATCTCAAGCGTACTTCTAAAGTAAAGCAACCATTTCAAAACTTGAATTTGGTCTACGACTGCCGTTCACAGTTGCAGCATGCATTGACCCAGGGCTGTGAAAAACGGATTTCGGCCTAAGACAAAATTTAAGAAGAGAGAAGTGTACGGTAAACTTACCTTAGCTCTCTCCTGTTCTTCATGACATCACCTGTCTTATAAAATTTACCGGAATGCAAGTCAGTAAAGTCACGCAACAAAACTCTGTCCTTCCGTACACTATTCTTCTCCACCTAAACAGCGAGAAGCACTAAAAATATCATAGACTATAGCAAACATAAAGCACATAAATTCTTCTAGCATATTTCTAAGTGAAAACTTTTAAGACAATATTTCAAACAGTTCTCAGCAGTTGAATGCCTCACGAACCTCTAGTGCTGCCTCTAACGCTTGTGACACTGGAACTCCGACGTCCATCATCTTCAACGTTGGTTCTATAAGTCGCGGCCAAGGCACATTTCCTCCAAAGTTCTTGTATTCTTCCCATAGCCCATAAAGTTCACCAGGAACAGCAACTGCCTTCCATCCTAAACAATGATCAACGCTCGAGTTCTTTCGGCCTATAGCTACAAAATCCGTAAGCCATAACATACCAGTTTCCGATCCCGTTAGATTGCTGTCAAACATGCGCTCATGAGCGCGAAGAGGCGCTGCCTCTCGAGCATCAACCACGAAACAACTACGTGTTGTCCTGCAAGTATAGAGCCGTGTTTTAATCCATTGTCTTGCCCACGAGTGCAACAACAATTTGAACTAATTCTATGTCAAACGCTTTTGAAGAACCTTCAGAGCATTCTTAAAAAGATTCATCCCGTGCGTAAGGTTACTCCTCTTACGTTATATTATAAAGGGATACAATGGGCGCGTCATTTCAGACGTACTAGCAACCTCTCAGACGTACAAAACCAAATGAACTGCAAATTTGAAGCTTCCTCTAACAAGCTTTCCCGCACTGAACGCGCCTCCCTGCTGTTCTTCATACGCATCTTAAATCAGTGTCTCCTTCACTGAAGATTATAAAAAGTTCAGCATTTAGGAGAAGCGTAGATGAATGCATAGTGAAAACATTTGTTGCTTATGACTCTCCACTGGTTCGTCATACTATTGCTAATCTGTTCAAGTTTTAGTTCCAGTCAAGCATTTCGCGATGTTTTGACTGCAGGGAGGGACAACAGTTACTATTACTAGGAATAGTTAGGAAAAGACGTTGAGGGCAAAAGTTGACGAGAGCTTCATAAAAACTTAAGTTAAATATTTGTCTTCCATTTTCTAAGGACTTATATAAAAAAATAATTTAAAACTAACGCATTGTAAATAGTCATAAAGTGACCTCCGCCGAGTCCACTGCTCATAGGATTGATGACTCCCAAACATACCAATATCGTAATAGCTGCTTCAACAGCGTTACCACCTTCTATCATAACATCCCTGGACGAAAACCAGTCAGACGAAGCAAGAAAAGAAAATAGAAAATAAAATAAGAAAGCTTACCACCAGTTTTCCTTATGTCAAACACCACTTTTAACAGCTACCAAGAAAGAACTAAGTTTATACCTACCTGGCGAACTCTGAGCATCGGACGTGATCCGTAGCTATTGCAGCTGCGCTAAAGTAACCGTGTATCGGAAAGTGTGGGGACACCCAAAGCGACATTATGAGTGTTCTCCAACTCTTCTATAAAATTAGTACTTGTGAGGACGGTAAGAAGTCACCACCATCTTAAGAAAGCACTGCTAACAAAAATTACAAGCGAGGAGTCTTCTATTCGCCTCCTCACTTAAAACATTCAGAAATGTTGCGACATTCTTCTAAATCCTCACTCACTTCTCAAATTGCTCAAAACGATATTTCTACAACCCATCTGCACTAGAATTCTTTTTAGCACTCTTGCTCTTCCTAACATGTTTAAACGGACCTGACTTTAAAGCTGATTAGTCTTGGTGTAGGACCAGTAACGGAAACAGGGGGACTATTACTACACGCTTCATTAAAGAAGAAAATAGAGAGAGCATCAACTTGAAATCTACTGCTAAAAAGTACTTTATTGGGACGATTCTTGGAGTTATCACCTGGTACTTCTAGTACCGCGAGAGCAATCAAGCCTACTATTTTGCTTCCAACTTAGTCAGAAACAATCTATATTTAAGACCAAACTTAGAACCACCGTACAAACGGCCAAAAAATATACTACATTTAAACCGTCTCTTAGACATCTGATCAAGTAGGACCCGAAACGTGGAAAAAACCGAAAAAGAAAGTAATGAACTAAGTCACAAACATAACTACTTAGCTACAGAAGACGAAGCACCAAAAATGGTTAGGTATACCTGTGCAGAAGCTTAAAAAACTTCACAGATCTGATAAACTTGTACTGCAAGGTCCTTTGGGCGGCCTGTCAACTCATCATTTTTGGTGGTCTGGAGAGGTATTGAAACGACATGCAGCGGAAGAATGGTCTGTTACGAGAGATATATTTGTAATTATTTGTCAATTTGAGCTTGGGAGGAAAAAAGGATTGTTTAAAATTCCACAACTTTGACTTATCAAGTCAAAGAAGTGAGATTAGAAATTTTAATCAGCAGTTATTTTTGGCAGTTATATGCTTTGTATTTTTTTTTGTGGTATAAATCTTAGCAACACTGTACAGCATTAATCACTTTGGTAAATATCTGTTAACTTGAAAAAGATGTTTGCTAAGCCAGCGCTGAAGTTGATGGTAAAAAAACATGATTAAAAAAAGACGGTGTTGTTTTGAAAAGTTTATTTTTGACACTCTAGGCAAAAAATTTAATTTTTTACCAAATTTTGGCTTCTGTAGGGATAGCATTTCTTTCGTTACTAAAGGCTAAAAATTATTTCTTACCGTAACTGCCCTTATCAAACTTGCGCATCTACTGCCATCAATATTCCACGTTTTTGTTGCGCCATAAACAGTTGAATAATCAAAATTTTTCGGTTGTAATAAATTTTCTATGTAGGAATTGTTATTTTGTTGAAGATATCTTATAATAAAAAGATTTTGTTGTGATCTTGTTTTTTATATTTTTTGTCAATAACATTCAAGTTTTTTACGAAATCTAAAAAAAGTTGAGCTAAATCAACGTTGGTTAAAGTGTCCACAACAACGATTTGGAACAGATGAGAGAAACCAATAATACAGACGATACTGTTTTGTCATTTTACAAATGTTTTGCGAATGTAAAACCATCAGTTGAATAACTGCGATTGAAGGTTTTCATTCCAAATAAAGCAAACTTATTGTAATACTACTGTATACGACTGATGCTACAAAAATTTATTGTCAATTTTAGCCACATTATTTACAAATTGGTAGTACCGAGAAAAATGGAAATGGATTGCGAATAAAAACATAGCGTCTGATAAAACACAATAAAACAAAGATTGACCACGAAAAAGTATTGATTAGATTTATGATAAATTTACAATTATTGAAATAGTTTTGAATTGACTATTAGAAAGTTAATTTTTAGATACAAAGGCATATCTGATTTACGGTTCTCTAACCCTGACAAGAACAACAGCATGTTAGAAACAGGGTACATATCAGAAACCAGAAAATTTCCAATAAAAAAGAAAATCGAAAGCTGTGGAGCATTTTAGCAGAAGTCTTACGTAAAAGTTTGTGCACAGTAAAAAGTTATTTGAAAAAATTCTGAAATTAACAGTTAGATTTTTTTAAAAAAATTGACAAAGCTAATCTTATTATTTAGTAATAGGTTATTGCATTTCTTGTCTTATTCTCTCTTATTGCTTTATTAAAGTGTTCTGTCGATGTTCATAAAAGTTAGTTTTTGAACTGATTTTATTTGTCGTTGAGTTTGTAGAAAGAAAAATGTGAATAAAAGTCACTAAATTTTTTTTTCTTTTTTGTTATTCTCATAACTTTGCAGGTTTGTTTCAAAACAAA